CCTTCAGGTCACGAGTCCTCTCCCTCCCCTAGCTACTGTCTCTCTTTTCATCTCCCTTTCGCAGATAAACTTAGGGAAAGTGTGGTTTGCATTCATTAACTCCACTTGCTCACCTGTACTCAATGCTCAACTTACTACAATTTGACTCTGGCTCCCACTCCACTACACTGCTCTTGCCAGGTCACTGCGACTTCCTTATTGGGCGCAGCATCAGAACCAACCTGCTGCCCTTTCTCTTCTTCCCCCAACAGTCTCTTCCCTTGGTTTCCGCAACTCTGCTGGTTTTCCTCCTCCCTCATTTCTTCTCTTCTCTTTTGCTGGCCACTCTTCCGCTGTTACTGTTCTCAGCATTTTGCACTATGGGCCTCATCTCGCTTACACACTTGGCATAGGCAATCTTAGCCACATCTACAGAGGCTGCAGTAACTACCTGGACAATGACAACTCCTCAGTCTGTATTCCCAGATCAGGTCCCTCTTTTGTACTTCAGACTCATATATACAACTGCCTTAGGACACACACATGTGCATGTCCCTCAGACAATTTAAACTCTACATGCTCAAAACTTGGCTCATCAATGCCTCTCGTCTTGGAGTCCCTCTCCAGGTGACAGCCATCACCATTCACACAGCTGTCCAAACTAAAAACCCCAGGCAGTTGTCTCTGACTCTTCTTTGTCCCTCATTTAACACATCCAATTAATCACCAAGTCCTGTTCAATTCTTCAGAATCTCACTGGCATGTTCACTACCAAGTTCAGAGCGCCAGCATCTCTCGCCTAGGTTGCTGCAGCTGCCCGAGTCATCTTCCTGCTTCTCCAGTCTTGCTCTCCCTGCTCCTCACCGATCCACACTCCCCACACTGCAGCCACAGTGAACTTGAGGAAATATTTTAAATCTAATATTTAAAATATTTCTATCTTTTCCCAGTGGCTTAACATGGCCATGTGATCGGTCTGCAGATCACCTCTCTATTGTCTTGCTGTTTGTTCCTCCTTGATGCTCCAGCCAATACTGACTTCTTTGAACTGCCTGCTAAGGCTCTTTTTGTGATGCCTGTCACAATGCTGTGCCCTCTGCTGGCTACTCTCCCCTCTTCAGCATGGCTAATTTCTAATTACTCTTCAGGTCCCAGCTTCCATATCGCATCATTTCCTGGGCCATTGTTCTCTGACCCCACGAGCTGTTAACGTGTTTCTCTTAGGCGCTTTCTTATCACCTGGCACTTGCCCTAGCATAGCACTCAGCACACGGTACAGTTAACACCTGTCTAACTCGTCTGTATCACTCACAGAGCTGTAAGCCTCTGAGGGTTAACAGCAGTTCCTACCTCACAGTCATTCCAGCACCCACCCCAGTGCCTGGCATAGTAAATGCTTCCATGAGCGTCTGAGAAAGGAAGCATGGGAAGTGCAGAAGGTTTGGATCAACCAGTTCTTGCTGTATGTCTGAGCTTAGCACTGTGCTACTAACCAGGGACAGAAAAGAAAACAAGAGAAAATGTCACATTGGCATAGGAGACTTCACTTTCATGTTTTTCTATTTTCCCGTGACATCTAGTAGGATGAGACACAGAGTAAGCACTTGAGAAATATATGTTGAACCAAATTAGACTAAATACTACTTGATTTATACCGAAATGTGTACATAACAGGTCAGAGTAAAGAGAGACAATTTGTATTGGAATAAGGCCAAATTAAAGGGCAAGGAGATTTTACCTGAACACTTACGATGAAACTTGGCAGAAAGAAAAGGAGAGGCCATTCCAATAATGAGTACAGAATCCATAAAAGAACCTGAAGAATTTCTGTGAGAAGCCCACCTGGAGACGGTGGTTCTCAGCTTTTGGTGCACGACAGAATCACCTAAGCAGCTTTACCAAAATACCTCGGCATGGGCCCCTCCCAGGGATTCTCCCTTGGTCCTTCATGGGGATTGGCGTAGGGCCCAGTACATAGGTAGGGGTGGGTAGGGAGAGCAAATGCGGTGCTTAAGAGCAGGGGCTATCTGGGTTAGACGGTGCACCCACCTCTGTGTGGCTGAATCTGGGTAAATTCTAAACCTTTCTGTGTCTGACTTTATAAAATAGAAATAATAATAATACCTATCAATAGAGTTTTCAAGATGATTAAATCAGATAAACAATACTTGTAAAGACCTCAACAGTGACCCGCCCCCCCACAGTAAATGGTCAATAAACATTTGCTATTATTATTGACTACAAATTATTATATCTTAAAGGATCTCAAATGAGGAAAACATGCTTGATGGACTGGGGGAAGAGAATTAGGACTTGATGAAAACTTCCAGAGTATTACCATCTTATCAAAACAACCTAAAATGTGTATCTCATGGCACCAAATGAGTTATTTAAAGGACAAACTCACCAATCCCAAAATGCTCGTTCCACATGGTATGCAGACCAATTGTTGCTTCAGACAAGTAATTCTTTAACTCATCAAACGGAATATTTATTTTAAATTCCACATCTTCTTGAACTCCTAGATCCTCAGAAAGCTTTCGCAGTTGGTTTACCCTAAGTTCATCATCTTGGTTACGACAACCTCCAATGAGAACAAGTTTAAGTGAAGGAAGTGACTCAGTCTCCTTCTTATTCAGCAATTTAGCAAAGGCTCTGATCTGCAAAGCATGATTCTTTTCCGGCCTGAACTGGGCAACAGAAACCAGTAAGTGTCTTGGAGTCATCTTTTTCTCATGTAGAGGAATGTCTAGAAATGTCTGCACATCACAAGGTGGATAAACGATGTTAGTGCAATGCCCAACCTTCCACAGTGAGAGAATATGGTTTAGTGTCCAGGAAGAATTGACCATGACTACATCACTGCAAGAACCAACAAGTCCATAAATAGAAGCAAACAAGTAGTAGTAGATGAGCTTTACTTTGCTGAGAAAAGGATTCTTGGTAATGAAGGCTGCATTATTAAATCCGACATTTTGATTCTTCACTACAGAAAGCATGTCAGTGCTGATAGTTGGATAATGAACATAGCTTCCAACTCGGCAGCTGCCTAAATACTTAAACAGAGGAAGTGTGAAAGCATATCCCATTGAATCGATATAAATATCAGGAACACACTGCATCAGAGCTTCCCAGCCAAGAAAAATGGATCCTAGACTTTGGCCCAGCAGTGTGAAGTGAGGATACAGTGAATCTTCTACAAGGTAGCGCTTCCTTAAGAAAACAAACTTCACTGGGTGAATTAATCTGATGTTAAATCTTCTGAAAGCACCTTCTTGTATTTGTTGACTGCTGACATTAACATCACCAGTATAAACAACATAAACTGCTGTAGGATACCTAAAATAGAAATATAATAGTTAAGAATTTCATTAGTTCAGGTTAAAATAAAGCAAACAGGTATAGACAGTTTTTTTCACAATCATAAGAAGCTATTTTTAGACTAAAAAAAAATGTTTTCCACTGTTTTTCATTCATTGCATT